GTGAGAAAGGTGAGTGAAAATGAAAGTAAAGATATTGACCCAGACAAGGCAGGGTACTCTGGTCAGGCTTTTTCGACTGGCTTCTAGCAGCTTCAGGTATGGAGTCAGAGTTGTAGCTTTAGCCTTCAGGCTTCAGGCTTCAGGCTTCAGTCATCAGACTTCAGACTTTAGCCTTCAGGCTTCAACCTTCAGACTTTAGGCTTCAGGCTTCAACCTTCAGGCTTCAAACTTCAGGCTTCAGACTTCAGGCTTCAGACTTCAGGCTTCAACCTTCAGGCTTCAACCTTCAGGCTTCAGACTTCAGGCTTCAGTCTTCTGGCTTCAGACTTCAGGCTTCAGCCTTCTGCCTTCAGACTTCAGACTTCAGACTTCAGGCTTTAGCCTTCAGCCTTCAGGCTTTAGCCTTTAGACTTGTAGTAAAGCTAAGCTCGACCTCTGCCTCCAGCCTTGTCAAACCTGATCAAATAATATTGAGTCCTAATATGGGCATAGAATAACTCAATGATTTCTAGACGCTTACCGATGCTGGCTTCAAGAACATTTCAATCAAAGAGGTGACAAAAGAGGCGCACGAAGCACAATCCGAGTATCTGAAAGTACACGAAAAGGTGGGAATTTAAAAAAAATGCTTTTATTTAACAAGAAAAACAATAAATAATAGTAATAAAGTAAAAATATAAATGATTAAATGGTCTAGACTTTGCTATACGATTCACTGAATCTTATCGCTGAAATTACGCTTAAAATCTTTGGCTTGAGAAAGTCTTTTCGTTTCTTTTTAAACTGAGAATCAAATTTTTTTTGAGAAACCAAGAACTTTTGGAGTTTCAAACAAAGTTTTTTATTGGTTAAAGTTAATGAGAAAAATGGATTACGATAGAAAAAAAAAGCATACAATCTTCAGTTTTCGATGCTTTCTTTTAAAAAAAACTCTTTTCACTTCTTTTCGTATTATCAATTTAAAATCAACAAATCAATCAATAAAACTACGCTTTTTTTTGATTAGAAAAGCTTATTTTCTGGGAAACGGAAAGTAAGTAAGGAAGGAAAGTAAGTAAGGAAGGAAAGTAAGTAAGGAAGGAAGGAAAGTAAGTAAGGAAGGAAAGTAAGTAAGTAAGGAAAGTAAGTAAGGAAGGAAGGAAAGTAAGTAAGGAAGGAAAGTAAGTAAGGAAAGTAAGTAAGGAAGGAAAGTAAGTAAGGAAGGAAAGTAAGTAAGGAAGGAAAGTAAGTAAGGAAGGAAAGTAAGTAAGGAAGGAAAGTAAGTAAGGAAGGAAAGTAAGTAAGGAAGGAAAGTAAGTAAGGAAGGAAAGTAAGTAAGGAAGGAAAGTAAGGAAGGAAAGTAAGGGAAGGAAAGTAAGTAAGGAAGGAAAGTAAGTAAGGAAGGAAAGTAAGTAAGGAAGGAAAGTAAGTAAGGAAGGTAAGTAAGGAAGGAAGGAAAGTAAGTAAGGAAGGAAAGTAAGTAAGGAAGGAAGGAAAGTAAGTAAGGAAGGAAAGTAAGTAAGGAAGGAAAGTAAGTAAGGAAGGAAAGCAAGGGAAACCTAATTTAATGCTGACATTCGTGGGGTAATTCTTTCTAAAAGCTAAAACAATTTCTGCCAAATTCTTTTAGCTTTCAGTATTTTCCCTGTAAGTTTTGAGCACCTTGTAGAAAATGAAAATTTAAATTCTAGATTAAATGCAAATTTGCTAGCATTTGCTAGCATTTCCCGCGCATTATCACATTTCCCACGGGAAACGTTTATCGCAAGGAATTTCCCTCTAAATGGTGATGGTCAACAGGAAAAGTTGAGAGGAATTTTGAGGGAAAAATCAGTACCATAGATGCGCGGGAAATGCTAGCAAATTTACATTTAATCTAGAATCTAAATTTACCATCATTTAGACAAAATCAGTACCCGATTCGGGCTTTGGTTGAGTTTTTGCATTTTGCACTTTTCAAGTTGCCCATTTTCAGCCCGATTTTCCCGTCGGAAAGCACTGGCTTCTCATCGAGGCATCATTGTAAAAAGGTTTTTGCAAATTTTTATAAATTCTAACAATAATCGCTTTGTTTTTTGACATATGCTAAGTGCAAATTTTCTGCAAATTCTTTGTGATTTATTTTGCTGTATTTTGATTTAGATATTCTCTCTAATAGTGCATCTTAAGCTTTGCCTGAATTCCTCGAGATCTCGAGAACCGCTTATCAGAACCTATTCGAAAATGGGGTCGGAAAATATAGCTGACGATGAGATCTAGTGGGAGATTAGAGTGTTGTGTTTCTGGGAAAAATTGGAAACTGTAAAATAGTCATCAACTCGGCTGGATGCATTACTATTAGAGCAAATACGGTATATTTAGAATGAGCATAAGATTCTGCGTCGAATAGTATAGGTTGCCTAACATTTGACCGGCTCAACCTTCCCTTGTCAACCGAATGAGAAAAAGTTCAACAATTTAATAAAGAAGGTCAATACGACTGTCGAAAAGATAAACGATAATCGTGAAGTGTAAAATGGCCTAGTTGCTAGTTGCATTACGCTTTGCCTAAACTCCTCGAAATCTCGAAAAGCGCTTATCAGAACCTATCGATGTGGGGTCGGAAAATGTAGCTGACGATGAGATCTAGTGGTGGATTAGAGTGTAGAGCTTCTGTGAAAACTTTGGAAGCCATAAAATAGTCACCAACTCGCCTCGCCTGGGTGCACTACTATTAGAGCAAATACGGTATATTACGGTAATGAGCATAAGATTCTGCGTCGAATAGTATAGGTTGCCTAACATTTGACCGGCTCAACCTTCCCTTGTCCATTAAATCAGGATATCAGAACCTTTCCGTGTCCATTAAATATCTTCGTCATCTACCGTATTTTCTCTAATAGTAGTGCACATTAGAGAGAATACGGTATATGAAGTGAACGTTATATTTGACCAAATCGCCGTATGAGAATAGTATAGTGCATCTTAAGCTCTGCCTAAATTCCTCGAAATCTCGAGAACCGCTTATCAGAACCTATCGATTTGGGGTCGGAAAATGTAGCTGACGATGAGATCTTGTGGGGGATTAGAGTGTTGAGCTTCTGCAAAAGCTTGGTAACTGTAAAATAGTCATCAACTCGACCAAGTCCACTACTATTAGAGAGAATATGGCATTTAGTTTTTTGGAAAGAAAAAGTCCGACACTTTGTGATCTTTTCGCTTCACTTGTGAAACACTTGTATTCTGATTGTTTTTTTGTTTCAATTTTTCTCTTGTTTCATGCAAATAAAACTAATTTCTCATTGTTATTAAATTAAAAAACTTATTATCCAAACGCTAACTCATTATCCAAATACAAATCTTATCCTAAATCTTATCGAAATGCTAAAACTAATTTCTCATTGTGCACACAATCGCCGAAAGTCTATCGTTTTGTTACTGATTCGGTAGCTTTCAACGTCATCGACACACCCGGGATCGGCGACACTCGCGGCGTGGTTTATGACATGGAAAACATGCGAATGATCATGAAATCCGTTGCTCAATTTGATAGGATTCACGGCATTTGCCTGCTGTTGAAGCCGAACGAATCGAGACTCGTGCTCTCGCTGCACTGCTTCTTTACCGTATGCACGAGTTGTTGTCAAATTTGCATCGGAACTCGGAATGCTAACTTATTATCCAAATGCAAATCTTATCCAAATGCTAATAAACTATCGTAATCAATCGATCGATTATTTTATTTTCTGAAAAATTTACAAAATCATCTTGCTTCTCTATATTTAGTAAGAAAAAATGAGAAAACAAAGAATTAAGAAGTGTGCCAAATGGAATGCGTTTAGTTGAGCATAAAGTAGACTAAATAACAAGTATACTCGAGTATAAAGTACACTAAAAGGTAAAGGAGATCTGCAAAAACCTAGGCTTAACTGATTTTAAATATTTTCTGTTAAAAAAGAATAATCTTTATACAAAAAAAAGAAGATAAAGCAATTCAAAAAGACATTTTTAAAAAGAAGAAAAGTTTTTTAGAACCCGATAAAAGCCGTAAAAGACAAAAAAAAGATGCAAAAGAAAAACGAGGATTCAAACTCGTTTTTACTATTTTGTAAATTTCTCAAGATATCGAACAGATGTTTATGAGTGTTATATATCATTCGAAAGCTGAAAATCTCCTCTATATTTTGGAATAAAAAAGTTTTTGAATTCATTGAACTTTTTGGGAAATTGACTGCACAAAGGGAGAGGTGGTTTTCGAAAAAAAAAAATTTCCAGCTTAGCTATTCCCCAAGTTTTATGGTGTAAAATAACCGCTCAGAAAAGAAAAGAAAAGCAAAGATGCTCTGAAATTGTTATATTTTTTAAAAAGTTGTATTGATATATCTATTGGCCAAACATCAAACGGTTAACTCAATTTGAGCGGAGCCAAAACTTGATCCAAAGGCACCCTTCCATTTTGTAGAGAAAAGGAACCGAATTGTAGAGAAAAGGAACCAAATCTGTAGAGAAAAGGAACCGAATTGTAGAGAAAAGGTCTTGATCCAAAGGCACCCTTCCATTTTGTAGAGAAAAGGAACCGAATTGTAGAGAAAAGGAACCAAATTTTATAGAAAAGGAACCAAATCTGTAGAGAAAAGGAACCAAATCTTTATAGAAAAAGAACCAAATCTGTAGAGAAAAAGAACCAAATTGTAGAGAAAAGGAACCAAATCTTTATAGAAAAGGAACCAAATTGTAGAGAAAAGGTCTTGATCCAAAGGCACCCATCCATTTTTTGGCCACCTCAGTCAATTTGCCCAAAAGCTGAACAAATTGAAAAACTCTATATCAAAATGTAGAGGAGATCTTCAGCTTTCGAATAATACTCATATATATCTTTTTCTTGATTTCGCTATCTTGAGAAATTTACAAAATAGTAAAAAACGCGCATTCATAACTGAACAACCCAATAAAAACAGAATTTCGTAAAGTTTGAAATGTGAAAGAGTCGATCGAATTGAGTTGAATTAAATCAAAAATCGTTTAAATGAAAAGTCTTTTCACTCGTTCACTTGTTTCTCTTGGCCATCCTCCTCTTTTGGCTCGTTCATTTCCCTCAAATCACTCAGCCCATCGCCACCGCGACGAATGCGATGAACGATCTCCTCGCAACTCCGCGCAATTGATCGACCCCGATCAACGAGTCGTTCAAGAAGACTCCGGCTATCAGCCTCAACACCGCGAATCTGTAAATGATCAAGTTTAACGGGTTGACATTTACTGACACAAAAAAAAGGTGTTTCGTTTTCTCGGGCGACTTCTTTTTAGTAGATTAGCTCGTTCATTTCCTTTTTAGTAGATTAGCTTCACAAGTTTAAGTCGAATTTTTTGAAATGTTAGTCAGTTAAGTTCAGTTAAAAATTTGTCTTTTTTTTTTTGGCTCGTGTCTGCTTGAAAAGCAAAAATTTCTCTTGTTGTGACAATTATGACGCACTAGTTCAATTCAGAACCTTGTAAAATGATTTGTACATCTGAAATGGGGAAACTTTTAAGAGATAAGTGTAGCCAGGATTATCAGCTTTAATATTTTTTTTTATCTTTTTTCGCACTCAGGTGTTCCTATTTGCGCAGATCACAACCTGCTTCCACATTTCTCGATCCCTTGCTATTGTCATCCAGTGTTTCCCATCTTGGTTGTTCGTGGTTCGAAGTTTTCGACTTGCTGGTGCTGGTGCTGGTTGCACTCTAGCCATCCTTTCTCTGACCGCCTCTGCCACTATTGTGCTCCACCTCGTTGCTGGTCTTCCGATGAGCCTCTTCTGGTCTCGTGGTAGCCACTCTGTGATCCGTATCGTCCATCTGTCGTCTGTTCTTCTGGCTACGTGGCCGGCCCATCTGAGTCTTTTTCTCTCAATCACTTCCACTGGATCTCTGAGTCCCGAGAGCTGGCGCATATCCGTACTTCTTAGGTCTTGATCGAGCTGCGTCTTCCTATTGTACCCGAGGAAGTTCCTTTCAAGGGCTCGATGCGTCATTCTCAGGGCTCGTTCAGTGGTCTGTGTCGTGGCCCAGGTCTCTGTCCCGTAGCAGAGTGCCGGGAGGACGATGCTGTCGAAGAGGTGTGCCCGAGTTCTCTGGTGATTCTTGAGCATCTTTATGACTTCTTTGATGCTTCCTAGTGCTGTCCAGGCAGCTCGTCTTCTTCTGGCAACTTCTGGTCTTAGGTCTCCCTCCATGTTGATGCTTCTTCCGAGGTAGGTGTAGGGGGTGACTTCTTCTAGTGGTTGACCTTTCATCAGCTTTAATATTTTATTTAACATTTAACAAATTAGAGTTGAACTTGGGGAGTTAAAAATTAAAAAGAATGACTGAGCACGTTGATTCAAGCAGATTCAAGCCGAGTTGAAGCGAGATTAAAGTCAACGATGGATTAAAGTCTTGACTCCAAAAGGATTTCTTTATAAATTTTTCTACAGCTAAGCAGTTCTATTCGCTTTCTAAAGTTTATCCTTTATACAGTAATCCTATCGAAATTCTATCAAAATCCTATTGAAATCCTATCAAAATATCGGATGCGAAACCTGTGTGAGAATCTCTTTCCACATCGTGTCCACATTCATCGCCATTAGCGCCGACAATTCCACAAAAGCGCACTTGTAGATCTTGGCAAGCATTCGACCTTCTGAAAAATTGATTTGAGAAATAAGCTTTTAGATTTTAAGCTTTCAAGCTTTCTGCTTTTAGCTTTTAAGCTTTTAAGCTTTTAAGCTTTTAGCTTTTTAGCTTTCAAGCTTTTAAGCTTTTAGCTTTTTAGCTTTTAAGCTTTTAAGCTTTTAGCTTTTAAGCTTTCAAGCTTTTAGCTTTTAAGCCTGAAGCTTTTAAGCTTTCAAGCTTTTAAGCTTTTAGATTTTAAGCCTGAAGCTTTCAAGCTTTCAAGCTTTTAAGCTTTTTAAACACAAGTAAATACTAGATATTTTCTAAAAATTTTACCAATCGTTCCAACGAGTTTCTTTCGTTTCAAATCCATTTTATTCCCAACTAAAATCACAGGAACGGGCGTATTTTTTCGATGCTAAACTTGGATTTTAAAAGAAAATCTTATCTATTTAGATAACCTGAAATATTCGATATAATAAATTAGCGGCTGTTGTGAAACTTTCACGAGAAGTTACCGAGTAAACAACCATGAACATCGTGATATGAGGAGAGAAGGGGGAAGTCTGGAAAAGGAAACAGATATGGTAATGTTTAAACTATTACCGTAAATACTGTAATAGTACCGCACCCCCCTCGTACAGTCGCGTAGTCGCAAAAGTTTTTCGTACAGTCGCAAAGTTAGTAATTCATTTTTTTCAAAGCGCCCGTACTTTCAAAAAATGCGTCTTTGGTATCAAAAAATAGCCCTGAATTTCAGCTATTTTTTGATACCTAAACGAACATTGTAGCATAAACCAGTGTCGAGAAAAACTCGTTCAAAGCTAGACTACGCAACACTCCGCACCGTCATTATGGGCGGTGGAGTACTATTAAAGTATTACGGTAGGTACACTCCTGGACAATGAAATATCATATATAAAAAACGATCGCACTTTCGCGCGTCTGTAACTCCCTTATCTTTACCGTATTTCTAAATATTAATATTACCATTGTGTAGCCCTTGAAAAGAGTTTTCAGAAAATGTATAACACTAATAGTTTAAACGCAAAGACAAGGGAGTTACAGATGTGCGAAAGTGACGATCTTTTTTCAAATATCATATTTCATTGTCCAGTACTGTTTTTCGCAAAAGTTTTTTAGTATTTCATTTTTTTCAAAGCACCCGTACTTTCAAAAAATGCGTCTTTGGTATCAAAAAATAGCCCTGAATTTCAGCTATTTTTTGATACCTAAACGAACATTGTAGCATAAACCAGTGTCGAGAAAAACTCGTTCAAAGCTAGACTACGCAACACTCCGCACCGTCATCATGGGGGCTGGGGTACTATTACAGTATTTACGGTATATCGAAACTATTAGTATAAAATATTCTTCTTTTAGAGAAGGGTTTAAGCTTTAAGAAACAGAGATGATTGTAGGTTTTTCGAGGTTTTAAATCCAAGTTTTCAAACCGATTTTCAACCAGTTTCCCCTCCAGATGGCCGGCGATTGACCAGCACTTCAGAGGGCCTAATTCAGCCAAAATTTCATCAATCCTTCTGATTTTTTGACGGATAAATCTTAAGTATATCTCCTAAAAAATTGCCAATTATCTAATCGATTAAACTTTTTGTTCTTTTTCTATAACTTTCAAAAGTTGAGAGCTGAGTTTTTCTCGATTTTAGAGATTTTTATGGGGATTTTCAAGAGAAATCTTGTCAAAAACTCGTTAAAAATTGATTTCACTAAAAAAAAAACGAAATTTCACATGCTTTGCGTAGTTGGATTTGCAAAAATTCTTAAGAAATGTCACTAAAACTCATCTGTTTTCACTTGAGCATTCGGGAAAGCCGCTAAAGAAAAAGAGAATCTTTTTTTAAAGGTTTATCACTTTTAAATCTCATAAGTAATGTAATTATTGATAAGTAATTTATAAATATTTGAAAATCATTTAAATATTTAAAAAGTTGAACGCTTGAATCGATTAGATAATTGATACTAGAGCTGTTTTACGGGTTCGGGCGAAATTTTAGGGGCGACAATAGGGAATTTGTGGGAAAAATAGATCCAAATTCATTTAAGGCAGAATTTCGGCAAAGTTTTTCGCAGAATTTCCGCTATATTACCCAAAATTGAGTGAATGATCGTTCTAATTTTTCTGGAGGGAAATTTTGCAGACAGTCCGTCTCGCTCTTGCTTTGTCTTCGATTTTTTGACTACTCAAAGCTTTTTCGAGCATGAAAACTAGTTCCTCCGCAAGCCCTGATTTTCGGCTTCATTTTTATACTAAACATGGCTAGATTCTTTTTTATCATTCTTTAGATTTCGACTTCATTTTAAATCAAAAATTTTTCCTGGACCCGAACGAATCCGGCGAAAGATTGATCGAAATCTAAAGAATGATAAAAAAGAATCTAGCCATGTTTAGTATCAAAATAAAGCCTAAAATCAGGGCTTGCGGAGGAACTAGTTTTCATGCTCGAAAAAGCTTTGAGTAGTCAAAAAATCGAAGACAAAGCAAGAGCGAGACGGACTGTCTGCAAAATTTCCCTCCAGAAAAATTAGAACGATCATTCACTCAATTTTGGGTAATATAGCGGAAATTCTGCGAAAAACTTTGCCGAAATTCTGCCTTAAATGAATTTGGATCTATTTTTCCCACAAATTCCCTACATTGAATCAAAATTTGATTTCCAAACGCACCTCTAACGCTGATTCCAAGAGAATCTCTAGCTGAACTTCCTCTCCATTCAGCAGAAAATTTATACTTCTTGATTGCCCGCTTTCTTCGCATTCAGTGGCTAAAAGAAAGCTTTTAAAGGTTTTGAAATCATTAAACAAATCGTTTATAGTAGTTACTATTTAGTTACTTTATAGTTCCTATTTAATCCCCATTTGGTTGCCCTATAGTTCTTATTTAGTTCCTATTTGGATCCTATATCGAATGATCTCTTGTTCCTATATAGTTCCTTTAAAGTTCCTTTTTGGTTACTGTACAGGGTGCGTCATAATTATTGCAACAAGATACTCAAGGCATTGCACACCAAGAAGTTTCACTGGAAGAAGATTTTTAAACAGAAATAGCTTTATTTAACAGTAACGAATAAGGAAACAAGAGATCATTCGATATGACCGCCTTTTGCCTTGATAACAGCCCTTAATCGGTTCGGATATGCCTCCACTCCGGTCCGAATGTCATCTTGAGGAGTCGCCTTCCATCCTTTGGTCAAAGACTTCTTCAAGGTCAAAGACTTCTTCAAGGTCAAAGACTTCTTCAAGGTCAAAGACTTCTTCAAGGTCAAAGAGCAGACATTAGCCTCTAAGATTGCCCAAATGGAAAAGTCCATCACATTGAGATCCGGTGAGTTTGGAGGCCATTCATCCTTGGTGATCACTGAGGGAAAGTTGTCCACACACCAGTCCTCAACCGTCTTCTTCGTGTGAGCGGGAGGCAATTAGGCAAGAATAAAGAAGATAGAATGCAACACAACAAAAAAGGAGGCAAAAAAAATAAGAAAGCTGTTTGGAAAACGGTCTTTGAACCCTTGTTGCAATAATTATGACGCACCCTGTATAGTTCCTATTTAGTTCCTCTTTGGATCCTACATAGTTCCTTTAAAGTTCCTTTAAAGTTCCTTTTTGGAACTTTATAATAGTTCCTATTTAGTTCCTATTTGGTTCCTATATAGTTCCTTTATATTGTAGAAAACTGACACAAAATATTGACCGACTCCGGCGTGGCATTCGCCGCATGATGATGAATTTGTGAGCACAGAGTCTTTTTCCCCACACAAACACTTCCATAAACTCTGTAATAGATTTTTGGTGTACTTTGTGATCACCAGTGAACGCACACCACCTAGTGCATTCAATTGATTTATAAGAAATTAGAAAAATTCTTACCTCAAAACCACTCTCTTCAAAGGTTTCGACGTTTCAGGGAAAAGCCAAATTTCGGGGCAAGTGGCGCGTCGAGATTCCGCTGAAAGAAACAAATTTTTTGCTAATTTTATAAAAAATAAATTATTCAGCTGTTTTTTTGATTTCAAACCTCGTCTTGCCAACAAATTTGGCACAATTGGTTGCGGGGGACGCGTTTGAAAACCGCGATCAATGAGGCCACCTAAAAAATTGGCTTGAAATTTGGCTATGAGAAAAAGTTCAACAATTTAATAAAGAAGGTCAATACGACATTCGAAAAGATAAACGATAATCGTGAAGTGTAAAATGGCCTAGTTGTATTGCGCTTTGCCTAAACTCCTCGAAATCTCGAAAAGCGCTTATCAGAACCTATCGATGTGGGGTCGGAAAATGTAGCTGACGATGAGATCTAGTGGTGGATTAGAGTGTAGAGCTTCTGTGAAAACTTTGGAAGCCATAAAATAGTCACCAACTCGCCTCGCCTGGGTGCACTACTATTAGAGCAAATACGGTATATTACGGTAATGAGCATAAGATTCTGCGTCGAATAGTATAGGTTGCCTAACATTTGACCGGCTCAACCTTCCCTTGTCCATTAAATCAGGATATCAGAACCTTTCCGTGTCCATTAAATATCTTCGTCATCTACCGTATTTTCTCTAATAGTAGTGCACATTAGAGAGAATACGGTATATGAAGTGAACGTTATATTTGACCAAATCGCCGTATGAGAATAATATAGTGCATCTTAAGCTCTGCCTAAACTCCTCGAAATCTCGAAAAGCGCTTATCAGAACCTATCGATGTGGGGTCGGAAAATGTAGCTGACGATGAGATCTTGTGGGGGATTTGAGGGTTGAGCTTCTGCAAAAACTTAGAAACCGTAAAATAGTCATCAAGTTGGCTCGGCTGGTTGCACTACTATTAGAGAGAATACGGTATTAGATCTCGTTTTTGGACCCAAATCGAATCTTTTCAACTCGATTCTATTCAAAAAATGCATCTATTTAAGAAAAGTACCGTAGTCAAACCGTTATTTTTTTATCAGATTAGTCTAATTTTTACGTAAAACTACTAGTTTTCTCAAAATTTTCAAAGCGCTTTACTAGAGGAACACACTTTAGCCTTGAATCGGGACAAGGCCTAGTATTGTAAACAATCCTCGTCACTAGTGCTAACTATAGGCCTTAGCATCACAATATCTTCTAACGACTCACCTTTAGTCATATCAAAACTCCTCAATTGTCCCATTGTATCCTCTTCTTCGGCGTCCTGAGTTGACGACGATTCGACGAAACCGCTATCGCGCATCGCCACCGGAGCTCTTCGACTAAATTCTATCATTAGTTGCATTTTTAAAAACATTTCTAAGTCCTAATTTCTTATGTAAAAGTCAATTTTAAGCTTGAATAATTCAAGAAAGCCACGGAAAATTTATCACTTTTTTTATCAGATTAGTCTAATTTTTACGTAAAACTACTAGTTTTCTCAAAACTTTGAAAGCGCTTTACTAGAGGAACACACTCTAGGCCTTGAATCGGGACAAGGCCTAGGATTGTAAACAATCCTCGTCACTAGTACTAACTAGTGACGGAGAACTAGCACTCAGAGAAAGCCACGGAAAATTAATCACTGCATACTTCATTTTTAAAGTTTTTAAAAAAATGATTTTCAGACGAAATTTCAGAGAAAATATTCAGAATGCTGATTGATTTCGTTTTTTTGAAATTTTACCTAAAATTGCGTTCGGAAATCGAATAATGTTCTTATCCAATTTCGGGAAGAATTGGAAAGCAAAAAGAAGAGAATTTTCGGGGCTTTGAATCGATTTTTTTCGATTTTTCAATGTCAATAAAGGAAAATTTAGCTTTCTGCGAAATAATATTGTTCTAAACACTTGCACCACAATGGGAAATTAAAGCTAAAATCTAATGTAACTGTCCAAAAACTCACGAGGCTAACTGTCGTCGCCTTGGGGAACGCTGACGGGGTGAGGCCTCACAGCTGAAAATTTCAGAAGTGCAAAACGAACGTGATAATGTGAATTGCTAATAGAAAATGTTCACTTTTGAAATGTTCATTTAGCTTACAAGCTTTATTTAGCTTTTTTCAGCTTCTATTAGCTTTATTAGAGCTTCATTTGGCGTCTATTCGCTTTTATTAGCTTTATTTATCTTCTATTCGCTTTTATTTGCTTTTATTAGCTTTATTTAGCTTCTATTCGCTTCTATTAGCTTCATTGAGCTTCATCTAACTTCTATTCGCTTCTACTAGCTTCTATTAGGTTTCTTATAGCTTCATTTAGCTTCATTTAGCTTCATTTAGCATCATCTAACTTCTATTTGCTTCTACTAGCTTCTATTAGCTTCATTTAGCTTCATTTAGCTTTATTAGAGCTTCATTTGGCGTCTATTCGCTTTTATTAGCTTTATTTAGCTTCTATTCGCTTTTATTTGCTTTTATTAGCTTTATTTAGCTTCTATTCGCTTCTATTAGCTTCATTGAGCTTCATCTAACTTCTATTCGCTTCTACTAGCTTCATTTAGCTTTTATTAGCTTCTATTAGCTTCATCTAACTTCTATTCGCTTCTACTAGCTTCTATTAGGTTTATTATAGCTTCATTTAGCTTCTTTAGCTTCTATTCGCTTCTACTAGCTTCTATTAGCTTTCTTATAGCTTCATTTAGCTTCATTTAGCTTCATTTAGCATCATCTAACTTCTATTTGCTTCTACTAGCTTCTATTAGCTTCATTTAGCTTCTTTAGCTTCTATTCGCTTCTACTAGCTTCTATTAGCTTTATTATAGCTTCATTTAGCTTCATTTAACTCCTATTCGCTTCTATTAACTTCATTTAGCATCATCTAACTTCTATTTGCTTCTACTAGCTTCTATTAGCTTCATTTAGCTTCTATTCGCTTCATTTAGCTTTATTTAGCTTTTATTAGCTTCTATTAGCTTATTTAACTTCTTAATTTAGTCCTGCATACCGTTTTCAAGAAAATTCTTTGAATTAGAAGAACCACAGTACTTTAGCTCGATTGTAGAATAAGAAAAAAAAGATCAAATTTTAAGTACAAGAATATGTTTTCGATAGAATCTAGCAAAGTTCGTTAAACAAAAGCGAAAGAATCGGGGTGGGTGTGAGAGAAAAAGGAGAACTAACAAAGAGAACAGGGTAATTTGAAAGAGAAAGTTATCGGATATCCATGTGAAATCGATGACGATTTAGAAGAAAAAGAAATGATTTTGTTGATAGGATGAAGAAAAGTATTGAATTTCTGGGAAAACAAGTTTATTTGGCTTATCACTTCATGTAGATTTTTTTACATACACTGGCTTAGGCTTACGATTAAATTACAAGCTTTACAAGGCTTACGATTAAATTACAAGCCTTGCAAGGCTTACGATTAAATTACAAGCTTTGCAAGGTTTACGATTAAATTACAAGCCTTACAAGGCTTACGATTAAATTACAAGCCTTGCAAATGCATGAAATCAGCTAAATTTTTGGTTTAAATGTTTAAATTTTATAAGAATTCAAGTGATTGGATTTAAAAAAGATAGTTTATATGCGAAAAGAAGCAGGTTAAAGTCGTTTAAAGCCGTTTAAAGCCAAGTTTTTCCAAGTTTTTCTGTCCCAAATCATTTTCACAGCATTATTATGAGTTTTTGAAGAGTGAAAGTTCAACTCAAGTACTTACTTTCTTTCTCTTCCCTTTTGTATTTTGTTTTTCTTCTTTAGCAAGTACTGGAAGGCTTAGTGGTTAGAGGATCTGGCCGGAACGAGAAAAAAAAGGACGAGGGTTCAATCCCGTCTCTGGAAATCTTTTCCATTTCTTACTTTACTTTACTTTACTTTACTTTACTTTACTTTACTTTACTGTACTTTACTTTACTTTACTTTACTGTACTTTACTTTACTGTACTTTACTTTACTTTACTTTACTTTACTTTACTTTACTTTACTTTACTTTACTTTACTTTACTTTACTTTACTTTACTTTACTTTACTTTACTTTACTTTACTTTACTTACTTACTACTTATTACTTACTTATTACTTACTACTACTTACTTACTTTACTTACTTTACTACTACTTACTTACTTTACTTACTACTTACTTTACTTACTTTACTTTACTACTACTTACTTACTTTACTTACTTTACTTTACTTACTTTACTTTACTTTACTTTACTTACTTTACTTTACTTTACTTACTTTACTTTACTTTACTGTACTTTACTTTACTTTACTTTACTTTACTTTACTTACTTTACTTACTTTACTTACTTCTTTACTTTACTTTACTTTACTTACTACTTACTTTACTTTACTTTACTTTACTTACTACTTACTTTACTTACTACTACTTACTTACTTACTACTTTACTTTACTACTTACTTTACTTACTACTACTTTACTTTACTTACTTTACTTTACTTTACTTTACTTACTTACTTTACTTTACACTACTTACTTTACTTACTTACTTTACTTTACTTTACTTTACTTTACTTTACTTTACTTACTTACTTTACTTACTTTACTTTACTTACTTTACTTTACTTTACTTACTTTACTTTACTTACTTTACTTACTTTACTTTACTTTACTCTTTACTTTACTTTACTTTACTTTACTTTACTTTACTACTTTACTACTTTACTTACTTTACTTTACTTTACTTACTTTACTTTACTTTACTTTACTTTACTTTACTTTACTTTACTTTACTTTACTTTACTTTACTTTACTTTATTTTCTTTACTTTACTTCTTTACTTTACTTTACTTTACTTTACTTTACTTTACTTTACTTTACTTTACTTTACTTTACTTTACTTTACTTTACTTTACTTTACTTTACTTTACTTTACTTTACTTTACTTTACTTTACTTTACTTTACTTTACTTTACTTTACTTTACTTTACTTTACTTTACTTTACTTTACTTTACTTTACTTCAGATCAATTTTCACTTGCACTTTCCTTTCATAACCTGTTCTTAACTATGAATTTAAGTTTAATCAAGATAAACTAAACTTCTTCTTTTAACCTATTCGAGTTTTAACCACGCAATCCTATTTGAGCGTACAGTCACGTAGTCGATAACTATTTTACTCATAAGTTAATGATGATTTAAAGAAAAACTAAACGATTACAATCATTTGATAGCCCTGAATCTCCTCTTGAAAACTAATATAAAATTATCGAGAAATTTCTGCAAAATTTATAAACAAAAGTCGATCAAAAGTTGAGTTAACACAAGAAAAAACGTCATTAGAATGGTATGGTCGTGAATTTGTTTAAAAAAAAAATGTTAAAACTGATATCATTTCAATGTTAGTGTCAAGTCTGGAAAGATTCAGTCATAGCTAGTTTTTTTAGCTAGTTTTAGATTAGTCATAGTTTTTTGAAGCTTTAAAATCTTCCTTAAACGCAAAGCACCATTGAGCACAAGAATTTGAAAACTAAATCAAGATTTAGTTTTCTAATCTAATTGTGAGCTTTTGTTCTCAAAAGCTCTTCAAATCAAGAAGCAGAACATTGAAAAGACGAAAAAGTCTCCTAAATTTGGTGTCAAATGGGCTGGTGGATGAGTTGGGTACCCATTTCCCATTGTCCTTTGTCTCCTCCCAATCCCCAAGAGACTCATTGATGCCCTTTTTATCCAACACATGATCTCCTTGTCTTTTCAAAGAAATCTTTGAGTATTCATGCGTTATTTGAGGGAAAATGGTGACATTTTCTTGTTTATTTAAGTCTAGAGAGGATTTGGGATCAAAAACCCGATTTCCCTTGAACTAAACTTGAAAGAGAAGCTCAACTTAAACTTGAAGGAGAATTTACGGAGTATCTGTGTAATTTGCAAAAATTCAAAACTGAAAAGCAGTGGCAGGGGTCGAAACCTCTAGGTCTCACATGAGAGACGAGCGGCTACCCGGTTGAGCCAAGATGACAAGTGGTTAGGTGCGAAAAAAAAGGGTTTTTATAAGTCGGTTTCTCAAAAAATCAGTAAAAGTCAAAAAAATTTTATTTTTGAACTACTTTTCTCTAATTTCTGTGGGGAAATTTTTGAAAAAAAGAGTTAAAAAATTGAAAAAGAAAGATGAAAAAGCTGTTTTTCTAAAAAAGCCGTTTTTCTAATTTCTAAGTGGAAAACTCTGTGAATGACAGCTAATTTTGAAGTAATATTTGAGAAAACTTAGTTAAATTTGTTTTTTTTTGGAGTTAATTAAGCCAATTCACCTGAGATCGTTGAAAATCTGAAAAAAAAACTTAAATTCCCAGGTGTTTGTTGGGGAA